TTTATAAGAAAGAGATAAAGCTACTTATAAATTAAAACTTTTCAATATAATCTTTACATCAAAGAAATGTGCCTCTTTGTAGTCAGTGAAATATTAAAGGAAATATAAATGTGAAAATTATAGCAAAGTATAAACTGGAAGAAATATTTTTCTGTGATGTCATTTCTACTTATTACCTATAATTTTAAAATATAGAATATAATAACCAAGTAAATGCCATGGAATGGGTTTGATCTGAATGCTTACTGTTATTTTTCAATTTTTTATGAATTAAATTTGTATTTAGACAATGTTGCACACGTGGGCAATGCATGCTGACCACTCTCACCCTGCACTTCCCTATTATTCCCGTCAACCTCCTAGGAATCCCAGGTTTTTGAGCAGTTGAGGCAAACACTCCACCACTAAGTTCATCTCCAGCACTATCCTGAATACTGTTGGCATTCAGAGCCTGCAGAACAAAATTCTTATTTAGTGATAACTGGTCTTTTTATAGTTCTTCAACATTTCATCCATGTTACTGTATTCTTTTCAACAGGACTGTGATTCCGAATAGTAACTATGCTATCTTCCACACATTCTTCTTCACAATAAAAATCTGAGCAACAAATATCTGTTAAGAGGTGGAATTTATCTTCATAATATTGGAGCTTCTGACCTTGGAACTCACCTGGGCATGCCTCTCTTGATAATCAATTTTAAATTTCTCCTCTAATTTCTGCTGTATTCACCCAGCCATGTATTCTATACTATAAAATGTTCAAGACTCTACAACTGCTCTCCTTATAAAGGGTAACTTGCCTCATCCTTACCCGTGTAACAGAATGATTATTTCCTGAATATGATAACTATACATTACACACGAATCAATACCCTACTACATATCAACACAGCAAAATATGTCATTAAAATTTGTTTTAATCAAATTACTTCTTAACTATTTAATCAGAATTCATTTAAATCCAAAAGGTAGAAACTTAAATAAATTTATTTACATATAATATATATATATATATATATAAAACACCATGGATTTGCTACTTTTTAACCAGTGTGATGACACATTAAGATTCTCTAGTACGCCAGGCGTGGTGGTGCACGCCTGTAGTCCCAGCACTTGGGAGGCAGAGGCAGGCAGATCTCTGTGAGTTCAAGGCCAGCCTGGTCTACATAGCGAGTTCCAGGACAGCTCGGGCTACAGGGAGACCCTCTCTCAAAAAGACCAAAAAAAAAAAAGATTCTCTAGTACATAATCCAGTCTAATTTAGTATACTCAAGAGAGATGGTTTAGCAGTTAAGAGCACTTACTGCTCTTTCAGGTTTGATTTCCAGCACCTACATGGTGGCTAACAACTGTCCATAACTCCAGTTCCAGGGGATCTGACACCCTCTTCTGGCCTCCATGAGCATTACATGCACATGGTGCACTTACATACATGCAGGCAAAACACACAAAACAAAAATAAAATCTTTAAAATAAATTTAGTATACTCTTACATTTAAAACATAGAATGTAACAACAGAGAAGTATTTTAAAGAATACTTTATGTTCAGATCACAAATTAAGTTTTTAAATCCTTATCAAATATATTTTACGTATTTCTTTTTTAAAAAAAACTTTTTAAATGTGTATGAGTGTATTGCCTGAATATATGTAAGTGTACCTATGTCATTCAGTACCTGTGGAGGACAGATTCCCCTGGAACTGGAGCTACAGACAGTAGTCACCATGTGGGTGCGGGGATTCAAACCCAGGTTTTCTGTAAAAGCAGCCAGAGCTCTTTCCTGATGAGCCATCTCTCCAGCCCCTAAGTATTTCTTTCACACATGAAAAATTATATATCAACCCAGAAAGCTAACACAAGATAATGCTTACTGGTTTGTACTCAGAACTCTTTTTACTGGAGTAATGTTGGATAGGAAATTTATATGTAGAAATATAGGCAACACTTAAAGAGAATTTATAACACAGGCAAAAGACTAGAATCAGACCTGATGAATCCTAGGGGAGAGGTAGCAAAAGTAAATGGGCCAAATAAAGAACTAGATCAAGAATTCAGAGATGCCAGGCTGGAGAGACGGCTCAGTAATTAAGAGCACTTGGTCACAACTGCTTGTAACTGCAGCTCCAAGGAATCTGACACCCCTCTGCCGGCCTCTTTGGGCACCTGCGCGCACGTGCGCATACACACACACACACACACACACACACACACAAATAAAAATTTAGTAAAAATTCCACTAGATGAATTAAGCTTCATTATGAAGTTAATTCCAATGCTCCTTCAAAATTATTAGCATCTACATTTTTATTGCTCTATGCCAGATTACTTTAAGCAAAATAAATTTTCAATAGAACTATCATACCTTAGAAAGTTATGGCAATGAAATTAATGAAAGACAGGAAAAGAAGTAATGAAGAAGAGATGAGAGGAGGAAAGAACCAAAAGATGAAAATGAAAAGGCAGGAATGAAGTCTACAAACATCTAAGTACTTAGAAGTCACAGTGATATATCCAGCACCCATAGTCACTGCTTTATTTACAATCTACTCTACACCTCAATGCTCAGATCTACTATAGAACAAGCAAACAGATGGCACGCCAACCATCGTAATTTCTTTTTTTCCATTCACTAAAGCCATTTAGATAGCCAGAAGCTTATATGCTTCTCATGTATGTTCTAATAAGATTTTTAAAATACTAACAATTATGAAATTGAGAAGGTAAATTGCCAAGTTCCTAAATTACATCATATTTCTTCCATCATATATTTATACAAGCTCAATTTTTTAAGTTCACATTTTTGAAACACTAAATGAATAAATGTTAATACAAATTATGAAGTAAGTTTGTTTGATTGGCTTTTTGAAACAGCATCTCACTCTGTAGGCAAGGCTAGTATGGAACTCACTATGTAGCCCAGGCTGGCCTCAAACTCACCAAAATCCTCCTTCCTTAGCCTCCTAAGTAATGAGACTACAGACATGTGCAACCACACTTGGCTTTAGAGCAATTTTTAAATGTCTGTTTTGTAATCAGATAGTTTACTATGCTGTCACTTAAAAAGACAGCATAGAAATTGAATATACTTGATTTTAATTCTATTGGCATACTATACCAAATATCAGATTAGACTACTTCAGAGAAATTAATACATAGATAAAAGAAAGATAACTATAGAAAGCTAAGTTATTCAAGAATCAGTGAACAAAAAGGGAGAAAATCATTCAAGATGACAGAAACCAATTTGTAAATGTAGAGTCACAGAATGTTAGAAATAGAGGAGCCCCTAGTAGTCATACAGCCCAAACCTGTCATTTACCCTTAAGAAAGCTGAGGCTCTGACAGTTTTCAATTCTTTGTCCAAAAAAAGTAACATCTATCCTGAGAGGTAGGAGATTGTACTACCTCAGTTTGATGTTCAATTGTCAGTATCCCTAGTTAAGGGACCATGCATGTTGTAATAAATTCCTGTACATGTCACTATGATTTGGGAGTAAACTGGTGATAAAAGTGAAGGTCATATTGATACATTTCATGTATTTTTACCTGGATATAGTGCTTCTGAAACAGAAGATAAGGTTTTAACTATAATTTTTCAATAAGATTTTAAAATCCCTTAAGACTCTATCAAAAGATTCCATTTATACTATACTTACTATCTTACTAGTTTTTCCAAATAAACAATGAAGTAATTTTCTTCTTCTATTAATTTCCCAGACAACCTAGCTGGTAATTTCTTTGGTTCTGTAGTATCCCATTTTTCTTAATCTACTAAATTTATTTACCTTTTACTGAATTTGCACAATTTTTCTAAATTGTTTATATAATTTAAAGAAAATTCCTTTGAGTATAATAAAAACATATGTATTCTAACATGGAAAAAAGAATACTTAAGTGTAATTAAGCCAGGCATGGCAGTGATGTATGCCTGTAATCTTAGCACTCAGGAAGCTCAAGGTAGAAAGTTCTAGGCCAGCCTGGACTACAAAGCAAGGCTCTCTTTCAAATAAACAAGAAGCAAATGGTGTTGGGGGGGTGTCAATTTGAAAAAAGAGTTACAATTAAGAAACTGTTAGGATTTATGCTTTAGAAATGATGAGGCAAAAAAGTATCTTTGGGTTATAACTAGGGATAAGGACAAAGAAAAGGAAAAAAAGACAGATAAATATCTAAATCTATAGATATTATTCTGTTCATTGAACTGGCACATTTTTCATAAGTCCTCTAAGTTTAAGGCTTTTCACAAAGTCAAAACAAAACTGCCAAGGTCAAGTTTAGAGATACAGATGACCTAATAATGCAATAAACCATTTTCAATTTTCTTTTTACCCTAAAAGTATTCCATTTCCAATTTAAAACAACTCATTTTCTCTCTCAAACACTTACTTTTGGGCTGGGGGTGTAGCTCAGTGGTAGAGCACTCATCTATCATGCATGAGATCTTACGTTAAATCCCTAGCACCATAAAAACAAAAGATTTGCAAAAAAAAAAAAAAAATCAAATACCTACTCTCATTCATTTATACCCCCAACTTCAATGAGTTCCCCAAGCTATTAAATGAGAATTCAGGAAGAAGACTACCTTCTTAAGAGCTCCGATGTGCTTCCAGGCTGACCTGTCTTCTTCACTGCACTTAACTGAAAGTGCTGCAAGAGCCTGTGTATAGAGTAGGGTGAAAAGTACTTTCACAATGCAGGTGAAGTGCTCTATGAGAAAAAAAGAACATCATTATTTGATATGCAGACATATCTAACACAAGAAAATTTCACAAATATGCCTTCCCCTGCATATGTGTAATTTCTCAGCACTTATGTAGTTAACAAAATGAAATTATAATGTGCTATCTTTGTTGTACTACTTTTATTGCTGCTATGACCAAAATACATGACATAAACAACTTGAGAGAGAAAACAGTTACTTGGCTCATGTCAAAGTTTTGGCTGTGGCACGGAGTGTGTGGCAGGCAGGAAGCAGAGAGGAGGATGCTGGGGCTATCACTTGGCCTTTTCCTTCTTTTATTCCATACTGGCATAAAGCCAATAGGATAATACTGCCAAATGCAGGGCTGGGCCCCCTCTAGGTTACACTTTCTAGAAATACTCACACAGACACATCAAAATTGTACCTCGATAATCTCCACAGCAATTTTTTTTTCTATGTAGCTCTGGCTGAAACTCACTCTGTAAACCATGCTCACCTAGAGCTCACAGAGATTAGCCTGCCTCTGCCTCTTGAGTTACTAGGATTAAAGGGATGTGCCACCACACCCAGCTCTCCTAGGCAATTCTTAATTCAACCAAGTTGGCAGCCAAAATTAGCCATTATACTACCCAACAAATCTAAGACTACAAATGCTAAGCTCCTCTATACATCTACAGGATATGTCAATCTGAAGCAGAGTGGTCTTTTAGAAAGGTATTGTCACTCAGGCCTGGTGGTACAGGCCTGTAATCCCAGCTACAGTGTCAGATGCAAAAGGATTACAAATTCAACTTCTGCCTGGGTTTCAGAAGAGTGAGTTCAAGGCTAGCCTGAGCAACTTAGCAAGATCCTGTCCCAAAATTTAAAACAGAAAAAGGATGGAGCCTGGGGAGATAGCTCAGTAAAGTCAAGTACAAGCATGTACAACCATGAAGACCTGGATTAATTCCCAGAACCATGTAAAAGCCAGACATAGGCATGGTATCACACATCTGTAACTAGGACACTGGGGCATGCAGAAGAGACAGGAAGATCCCAGGGACTCGCTGACCAGTGTAGCCAATATGTCAAGCTCTAGGTTTAGTGAGAGAACCTGCTTTAAAAAAAATAAGGTAAAGGTGTCTCAGCGGTTAAGGGTACTGACTGTTCTTGCAGAAGACTCGAGGTTCGAATCCCAGCACCCAAATGGCAGCTAACAACTGTCCTTAACTCCAGTTCCAGGTGATCCAACACCCTCTTCTGTCCCCCTGGGGAACTGAATGACACAGGTACAGTAACACACATGCAGGCAATACACTCATACACATAAAATAAAAAGAAGGAAGGAAGGATAAAAAGAAGAGAGTAATAGAGGAAGTCACCAATGTCAACCTCTGGCCTCCATGCATGAGTGCATGCAAGCAAACACAATGCATATGATGCACACACACACACACACACACACACACACACACACACACACACACACTCAGCAGAAGCCTCCTGAAACACAGCATCAGAGGCTGTCCTCTGCCCTGAAAGGCAGGGAGGGAAGGAAAAGAAAAAGTGCTGGGGGTATAGCTTCCTGAAAGAGTACTTGCCTATTGCCTACCATGCCTCAGGCCCTAGGTTCAATCCCCAGTACCTGCTTTCAAAAAAAAAAAAAAAAAAAAGTGTATTCTCTTTTAGAAGACTAAAGAACTAATGCTGTTCAAGCCAGGAATATCCATGAAACCTTGGCAAATTCTCTCTCTCTGAGCTTCAGGGTCTCAGTATTTAAAACTAACATATCACGTTCATGGTGAAAATCTCATCAGTAATAGCATAATAGATAAAGCAGATCCTATAAAGTCCAAAGAGAAAGCCTAATATTTAAATTACTAACTGAATACCTAAATTCAAAGAAAATTATAGCAATATAAAACAGTATAGCAATACATAAAGTACCTGGCAACTTTGGGGGCATATTGATTGCTTAGTAAATGAGGGTATAATAATTATAACTAACATTTCTATTAAGTCAAAAAATTTCCTCAAATGTCTCACTCCATCCTAAAAGCAATCTCTGTTGGACCACTGGGTTTTGGACAGACCAAGGCTGATAAGCACTCAGATTCTAAACTTGAATCCCTATCATTTTGATTCAGATTTGGTATTCCTTCTGCTATATTATTCTGTTTCTTCATAGGAAATAAATATCTCCACTTAATCAGTTGTCAGAAGTTGAAGACATCCTTGAAACTTTTACTGTCTCTTTCTACTCCCAGCAACTCTTTTTTTTAAAAACAAGTATCATCAATTCTTCTTTTAAAATCTCTCTCAAGTTCCAACAACCTTGGCAAGACCTTCATCCATTCTTGCCTAGACATATAATCCCCATAGACTAAGTAGTTACATTTTTGTTCCCCAAGACCACTTCCAGCATTGATGGCTCACTAGAACTCTTAAACTTTAGTCTACAGCATAATCAAGGATAAAAATTAAAACCAACAAAGGGAAGAAGAAGAAGACTTCTTGGGTAAAGTCCGAGAGACATCTTCAGAATCCCAAGATTTTAGTGGAAGTAAGTCAGTCAGGCGTGCTCATCTGGCACGTATGAAAACTCCAGACTCCCTTGAGGTAAGCAGGCATCTTCAGTACAACCCACACTGTATAAACGATTTAGACATTTTGAGCTGCACTCATCAGTTCTGAAAATGGTAGGTCTCTCTCTGAATCCAAATGCCTTAATGCCAATCAAGACTCACACTTTCAAGCAGGCCTCTCTGTTAATTCATCTCTGCACAGCAGTTTGCCTGCATTATCTATTAGTCCCCTACAACCTACTTTATTATTAGACTGAACCCCCAATCAATTTACTGAGGTGTAACTGACAAAAATTAAATATTCTGAAAGACTACAGCATGATTTTTTATATAAATACACACGCTAAACAGACTGCTACAGTTCACTGATTGCTACTATCAACTCACAGTTACCTCTTCTGTGTGTTTGGTAAGATTAAGATCTTCACTGTTGGCAAATCTGAATCACACAACATAGAACTATTAAAAAGACCAGTCTAAATAGAGTGTATGCAATAGAAGAGAAATTGTAACTAAAAATTTGTGCCCTTTGATTCACCCTTTATGACCTCTAGCAATCACTTTTTTATGCTGCTTCTGCGGTATAATTTTGACTTTTGTAGAAATCACACTAAGAGACAACATGCATTAGAGCTCACCCTCTGTATCTATCGGTTCTGTATCTTCAATCAATCAACCACAGACAAAAATAAATGGAAAAAACTGTACTGATTAAGATGGGAAAATAGCTCTATTAATTAAAATGCATTTTAGGTAGAGAACGATACTATTAGAATGCTATTTCTAAATATGCACCACTGCTACTTGGAAGAAAAGAGATGAAATAAGTCAATACTGGAAGCAAAACCACTTATCAGTAGGTAGTAAAAGCACTATTATATGAATAAATAGATACTCTGAACTAAAGAACTATAATAGTAGAGAAAATGAATCAATTGAGAGACTATTTAGGTGACAGAGACAGGATTTTGAGAGCTGGGGGTATGGTTCAGTTGGTAAGAGTGCTAACCTACCATGCAAAAGGCCATGGATTTGATTCCCAGCACCAAATAAGTAAGGTGTGATGTGGCATACAAGTAATCTGAGCACACAGGTAAAGGAAAGAAATTCAAGGTCACTCTTGGCTACTTATCAATTTGAAACCACTTTAGGCCAAAGAACCAGAACCAGCACCAGAACAAAAGAACCAGAAATAGGGTTTTGACTGAGATGGAACAGTTCAATATAAAGGGTATATACCAGCATTGACTAAAATAGAAAACAGGAAAGAAATGGGTCTGGATGGGAAGAGAATTTAAGACTTGTTTGGAATTTAAGGCTTAACTGGATCTAGGACTCAGCCAGAGCTAGAGATTTGGGAATTTTCAGAGAATAGGTAAAGTTGAAATTATGGAAAAGAAGTTAAAAGTTGAGAAGGAAAAAAACTTTTTAAAAAAGAGATTACAGTAAGAGAAAGAAGCGAATGAATAGGAGAAAAGACTTGAGGAGAACCATAAAAACATCTCATGAAAATAATGTTCCATCATTTAAAGTGTTTAGAAAGAATGAGGGCAATTACAGAATTTGTCTACCAAGTACATACAAAAAGATTTTAGCTGGGAAGCCATCTTATAGTGCCTAGCAACACTATAAACTCACATATAGCTTCTTCTCACAATAAATTGTCTCTTTACTAAAAAGCTATCCATTAAGAGAAATAACAGCTACTATAAGCAGAATTTTAGCTTTTTGTTGTAGAAAAGTTCTATTTTCCATTTGTAATCATTTTGTCATCATTTTAAAAACTGGTCTATATAGTGAGTTCCAGGCCATCAGGCCAGCTGCACTACAAAAAAAGACCCGCCCCCCCCCAAAAGGAATCACTATTATGAGGTAAAACCAATATCAAGCAACTAAAACACTTCTAATATAATTATCAAAAGTTAGGAAAAGAAAAAGTGATTATCATCTACTCTTAAGTCAGTGTGTCTAAAAACAGAAAAATCACCATCAAAACACATGAGGTTCAACAAAAGATCAGTCCCTACTTCAAATGGCTTTGAAGCAAACAGATAATTAATGGCACAGACTTTAACCCTCACAGTAGTACTACCATATTGGGAAACAGGTCTGGTAAAGCCATGGGCTTTGCTTCTGCTCCTGAGCTAATAGTATTACAGTGCTTGAATAGCAGGTACAAGGCCTGGGGTTTAATACCAGCACCATACACAAGAAAGAAATTAATTAATTAAAAAAAAAGCCTGTTCCTACTGTCTCTACTGTATCTACTATTCCTACTATTCCTACTATTCCTACTGTATCTACTGTAAGATAGATACAAGAGTTTGGGAAGGCAAATATTAACCTGGGATTTAAAAAGTGAATTTTGGGGCAAGAGAGATGGTTCGGTGGTTAAGAGCACTGGCTGTTCTTGCAGAGGATCCAAGTTTAGCTCCCAGCAC